GTGTCTTTATCTGTTTGCTTCCAGCCGTATGAGTAATAAATTGTTATCTTTTACTGATAATGTACTATCTCGCTTTTATTGTTCTCTCTCTCTTTTGTAAAAATAATAAATAGGCAGCAGAGAAGATTTATTCTACTTGACGATCATTTTGTTCGTATTTTATCAAGATTTAACGATTTTTTGAAATGATCGTACAATTTATTTTAATCTAATGAGAAATAGCGATTGTAAATGTTTAAATTAATAACAATTTAATAAGTTGCGCAAATCAATGTTTTCTTCGAACTTTTACACTAAAAATATATTGAGAAATGAATAGGATTTTGTAAAAATAAAACAAAACTGAACTCAAAAATGAATATATTTATTCAATGAATATTTTATTTGACGTATAAGCTAAACTTCTTCTAATTTTCTTCCCTCTTAGTGTAACTGCAAACGGCAATAAACTTTTCCGTAAAAATATCCCTCGGGCTTCAGGTGTCCATGGTTTGAATTCAGCTTTTACGTCACCGCCGAAAGTCACTGTAATCCATCCCGCATTAGATAACACTATATCACCACAAGAAACATCCCAATGGATTCCGTCTATCGTCATCGAATCGCCCGCTTTTAATCCCGGCCATTCCCGTAACCGTTGGTCAGTACCTTCTGGTACCGAAAGCATCTCCGTCCCGACAAACGTTTCGTACAACTCCTCCGCATCCTCGGTCTTACAGACCGTAATAGGGAGATGTTCTGAACGAAATATTGTCAGAAGAACGCTATCGGGACCTTTTAAATAGTCCAACCGGGCTAAACCAGCGATAAAAACGGTACTATTTTGTTTTACTCGAATGGTGTATGGCCTTATGAGCTTTTTGGGCAAGGTTTTGGTCAACTCTTCGGTAGTGAGAAGGTGGATTATTTGATCTGGCCGGACAACACCCGGTGTATCGTAACACCATTTCCCCATAGCGTATTCGGGATCAGTCGCGTCGATTCCCATCTGTTCCGGGGAAGAAAATTCACGTTGCTTCTCCATTCCATTTTCCGAAAATGTTTTATCTATGTGGCCAATCAACGTTGCGTATTTGGGATTTCTCGTTTGCTTCAGCATCTCCTTTCTCAGCCTACGTTCCATGGCCGCGATCCTGTTACTCGAATTAAGACGTTTGGTGCGTACGTACAAGCGCCATCCTGAAGGCCTGAGGATCGGGAACTTCAGCAGATTCAGGGTAGTACCCGGCCAGCAACTTGTCGTTGCCCTGTGGATCAAATCAGACGCTTTGACTTTACAAAAGTCGGATTGGAGCAAAACGTTGAACAAACTGGACTTTCCCACATTGGTACATCCGACCAGGTAGATGTCCCCCTTTGTTCCCCATACGCTGTGGATCTTTGTGATTAGCTCCTCCACCCCCCAACCGGTCAGAGCCGATATAAGGGCGGTATGTACCACGTTGGTGGCTTCCAATCCCATTTCTTTTACGCTTTCAGTTAAAACGGTCTTAATACGTGTCAAATACGAGCTGCTATCGGAGGGGAGGAGATCAACCTTGTTACCGATGATCATTACTGGCTTCTTCCTGCCTATTATGTCAGTTATGCCAGGCCATATGGAGCACGGGAAGTCCAGCAGGTCGATCAGTAACAAAATCAATGCTTTCTCGCGTCTTATCACTTCGAGCACTTTGGGGTACTCGTCGGGTGATACTCGTACTTGAAGGGCGGTGTTGAATTCCTTGAGGAAATAGCAACGTTGACACACGATACTGCGTATCTCTTCCACTTCGTGGGTGCGGAAAGTTTTGAAGATTTCTGACGGAATATATCCGGGGATGGAGGCGTCTTTGCAGTGTAAAAAGGCCCCGCAACCTCCACAGGGAATTTTGCTGATTCTGGATTTTGGATCAGGGGTCCCATAGTTCACTAGTGGAGTGAAGGAATTGTCATCATCTATCTCGTCTTGCTCCTGCATCAAGTCATAGGGGTAGTTCTCGTACGCTGACATCCATTTTTGTTTTCTTTCTTTTAGTAACTCTTCCCTTTTCTTAACTTCAGAAATAGCAGCTTCTGATGGAGCTTCGGTTTCCAACAAATCCTCAGGTTGTCCATTAGTATCAGAAGCAATTTCTGTATGGGTGACGCTGAAGGGGAATTGGACCACGTCAGGACTGCAATCGACTTTAGACGATTCAAGATCCTCCTGTTCTCCATCCCTATATTTTAAGTAAACTGGTAGGGGCTGGACGAAACGAAGACTCTTCAGATTATCCTCTTCTAAATGCCGCAGCTTCTCGGACACTGTTTTCCCTTTTGTAAACTTCAGATGCGAGTACTTCACGTTCATGTAACTGCTAAATAATATCTTCTTGTCGAGTTTTTTAATAAGTTCTTCCACATTTTTTCGGGGGCTTTCGGTACTACCTCCTTTTAACTGAGTACTATGTTGTAAGCGACATACTTTACATATAATTTGTTGCTTTATTTTATGGCAGTTTTTAATTATAAATAACATATTTCGGTTTTAATTTTACGTACATTAATGTTTACATCTTTGTTATTATAACCTCAAAAAGCAACTCGTAGTGTTTCTGATACCGGACATGGCCTTTACATATTTCTTCAAATATTGCATAAGATATCAAAAAGAACTATTATTACTCATTATAAATCTTAGAAATTTCTTTCAAAGTTCAAATTCAACCAGAATTTATTTAAGAAAACTTCTAATTAATCCTTTGTAACAGTAATTCCTTTTTCTATCACAGGTACCTTAAAATGGTACTGTACAGCCTAAATTAATATTTTCTTCCCCCTGCCTCCGGCCATTTTTATTGCTCCTCAATGACGTTGTGTCGGCCATCATTTTTTCTAATTGTTGCAGTTGTCGGCCATCATTCTTTTTTAATTGTTGCAGTTGTCGGCCATCATTCTTTTCTAATTGTTGCAGTTGTCGGCCATCATTCTTTTTTAATTGTTGCAGTTGTCGGCCATCATTNCTACATGGGTAAATTTTATCTTAGCTGTTTTAGGATGAATTGTTGCAGTAACATCTTTATGCATTGTTTACAATTTACAAAGTTTAACAATTATTATTACATCGAGCTTAAAACCATTAAGATTCATTTAGTATTCTAATAATAATCATCGTAAAAGTGGCTAGATGCACAGGAAAATGAATGCTCTGAGAACGGATGGAAGAATAGAAACTAATAAATCGTGTAATCTTATTTTTCATAATACTTTAATACTTTTCGGCCAATTTTGTTCTCGTCTCGTACCTTGTAGATATATGTGTGATTCTTTACGAAAAATTCGACTACATTAATTTATAATCGTGTTTGTTGAAGGATGCTATTGTGGATCTGCTTGAAAGAAATAAATTGACTTTGTTTTAAGGATTCATCAGTAAAATTATGTAGGTAATCAATAGAGTAAGCACTCATAAACTTTTTGACCTTTACACAAGAAACCAATAAACACCAAACACTGTAACATACAGGGCTTCATTATCTTCAAGAATTCTATAGGTCTATGTGTATACGTAGCTATTAACTCACAATTTAATTAGTTTTGAATTAATTGGAAAAAAAGAAACTGCGTCTAAAACTACGAAATAATAAAACATTATAAACATCAATGTATCAAACTTTCGTTAAATAACTAAAGTGATAATTTGTTTTTTAATGGCAAACAATTTCAAGGTTGACAACGTAATTAAAATAAGTTGAATGCAAAAACCATAAAGTTAATCTCTTACACATGCAGTACCTACATGTAATTTTTTCTACACTTTATAAATTGTTTACAATAAATTTTTAACAGATTGCTTTATGTTTAAAATGATTGAAGTACTCCATATAGCCTACGACAGTTATTAACGTGAAGTATAATAAATCTTTTTTTGTTCTTTTTTTTTTTTTTTTTTTTTTTTCGACCTTTGTACATTGTTATGGTTAACTTTATTTATTTAAAAAACAAAACAACATCTACTAATCGATTGTCTACAAGCAATATTATTGTACAATAACAACAACAGGAGCTATATTTATAAAACATTGGGACAACTTACCAATTGTTTATTTTTCATGCAATTAATAACGTTGTATTTACAAACGTTTCTAATAAACATTAGTTCATTCATTGATTCCGTCAGTATTATTTACTAACAATAAAAAGTAAAGTCGAATATAACTAATATCTCTAACTACAATACTATTACGTGTATGCACAGTGAATATTTTGAAAACTTACTGTAGCTATTAACATTTTTTCTCTGTTGTTATTAGCTATATAGTTGATGACCACTTATGCATCTTTTAACTGAAACGTCTGAAATGTTTCTTAGTTTCATAACTGGCGACCGCTTGTTTTATAAATGTACTTGCGTCATTGCGTTTTTTAAATAACTTTAAATTAAGTAAGACCTCTGCTAACTTTAAGTATGTTGGACGTCGAGTTACTAAAATTTTTCGTCCATAAAATTACAACTCGCCTACACACGACTTGTCCCGATTTCTCGGGACATTTCCCGATCCGTTCTTTATTGATTACTGTAAGGGTGATATAAATTCTCACCCCCGTCACCGTACACTATAAGCGCCATTGCCATGCTTATCATTTCAACTTTTTGATAGTTTTTTGATAGGTAATTAATTTGCGAATCGAAACGTAGAATTTAAATGCTGTGCGTCCTATTGATTAATTAAAGCCCGGATATAAAAAGGATGTAATTTCAGTATTTAGAACATGTGAAGCAAAATCGTAAATCTGTTTGTTTCCGTGCTTTTAAATTTACAAAACCTATTAATAAAACATGTGAAAATCGCGTATGTATCTGTTTCTATCAGTAAATCCATAAATAGCATTTTATTCCAAAAAAAACACTATAAACATAGATCATTTGGATATTTTACTTCGCTCTAAACCAAATGGAATAATAAACATTTGGCTATATAATTTCGTTTTGATAATTTTATATGAATTCATTAAACTGATTTGATTATAAGTAACAAAAACAATAATTATAATTAATATTTCAAAATAAATTGTAACGAATTTATCATCATTTTTCACTGAAATCTTTGAAAAGTTGAAAAATAAGTTTAAAAAGTCAACTTTGAAAAATTTATTTAGATTAGGCTCAACAAAATTTTACTAAATGTCTTTAAAAATATCACTAATTAATAGAGTTTGTAACTTTCTTGGTATTTATATTATTGGAATTGTATGTTCGGTTGTCTACATATTAAATTACAAATTTAATTAACAAAAAAAAAGATATAAATTTGCATCCCTAACTGCATGTACATGGAAAAACGTAATTTTTAGATGAAAATTTATCAATTTAGTTCACTAGAAATCGAAAAATAGCTCAATTATAAGTTGCATTTTAAATTGTCCCGGCGCACATTAGCACATACG